ATTCTACTATTGTTAATGAACAATGGAATTTTTGGTGCTATTCTAATGATCCAGAAATTTGAAAAAAATATACATTCTGAAAATAAATCATAGCATAGCTAGCATTGCTAAATACAATTATGCTAATGATAATCAAATAAGAACTGTAAGAACATTATTATTTTTCATTGAAACACTGTTATTTGATGTTAAAACATTTTCATTAACTGTTGAAACACTGTTAATTGCTGTCAAAACATTTTCATTAACTGTAGAAATACTGTTATTTTCATTTTTTCTATGCTTACAGTTTTTTAAATGTGGTTTTAATCTACAAGGATATTTAAATGACCAATTACAATATTGACATGTTCTATCAATTAATTTTTTTTTTCTACATATTGATGCTAGATTTGCTAAAAACATTTTGCTGAGGTTTATGAATGGAAATTGGAATAGTAATGGTTTTTCCATTGCAAGAAGCTTTAAATTCCCCTTTTACTATAGGCTCCCATCCAGCATGATGTTGCCATCTGGTACCAAGAATAAATAATGATATATCTTTACTATTATGATCTTTTTCTGTTGGAAAAACTGAAAATTCATCTGAAATATTTACAGTATCATTTCCTATACCTATAGTTATTGGAATATCATGAAATGTTCCTATAGATTGTTTTTCTCCAACTGCTCCTGAAAGTCTATAAGTCTTTTTTCTATCCATTTTTAAACCAAAATATTTTTCAATATAATATCCAATATTATCAGAAAGATGAGATCCATCAGAACCCGTATCAAGTAAAGCATGAGGTATTTCTAAATCATATATTTTACATGGAATAGTTGCATAGTTGTTAGGTTCTTTTATTTGCAGAAAATTAATTTCTCAAATTAATTGCACTTCTTGATATAATTTTATTGCATGGTTTAAAAAACAATTATCATTAATAGATTCCTGGTTTTCTTTATAGTTATTAATAATATAAATCAATGGTTCTAAAATAAATTGATATTTCTTAATAAGATTATTCCATACCATATTTCTTTCTTTACTTGAATAATTTTTAATATGATATGAGTTAAATGTGCTTTCCATTTCTAGGAATAATTTTCTAATAAATGAATATAACTCTGGAAGAATTTCTTTTGGACATTGTGGAATTAATGTTGATATTATATATTTAATCAACTCTAAGAATACTTGATTTTCATCTATCATTTTTTCTTAGTTGACTTGGTAGCTTTGTTTTTTATAGGAATCTTAGAAACTCCTCTTTTTTTTTTATATTAAAACAGTTTGTTTCTTGTGGTTCAAAATCAATATATTCATTTTCATCATCTTTTCTTCATTATCTGCATCTATTATTTCTTCCTCATCATATTCTACATATCCTATATATTCTGCATTTTCATCATTTTTGTTATTTTCATATTGAGAAATATTATTAACTTTTCTAACTCTTTTAACTTATGGGTAATTAATTTTTGTATGTCCAACTTTTTTACAAATTGAGCATTGTCTTGAATTTTTATTTGTTATAATTACCTTTCTA